ATAAATAGGGGAGAAGGAGAGAAATGGAAATGCATACAAAAAGAACCAAAGTCAAGTAATTTTATAAAGATAGCACTTTAATTGTCTTGCAACTTGAAGGTGAGTAGTCTATACCTACTTTTATTTCAAACATATTTATTGCAATTATGTTTATTGGATTACTTCTTGCCTTTCAAATCATTTATAGATCCAAGATTCTATCCATTCATATTGACATTGCGTTGAATATTGGCATTGCATTGGATAATGATTAATATTATTGTTTTCATACCAAGTTTGTGTAATAACTAATGAGCTCATATATTGTTATATTCATATTACGCGCATGGGTAGGATTGAACATCTATAATGGGGGCCCATTGTTTTCCTTTCTTATTCAAATTAAAGAATGATTATGGTATAGATTACTCACTGAAATCTATTCACATATTCTTGTAGATGATCACTATTGAATACATTAACTTCACCTCGGGTGAATGGATGACTTCAGAAAATGGCCGATATTGCATGTATGTCAAGGAAGTCCACACATTGATGACGTATCCAAAATTTTTGGGTTTCCATCACTTTGTGGGATCCCATTACTATGTTGACTACTTCAAGGCCACTACTATGACGTACTTATTTCCAAATGATTTTCCTAGAGAAATAATATGTCCTGGTGGTCTTTGATATAAATCAATTGGTTATGATAGTAAGATATGGTGCATAGTGCGACTTTTGCGTAGTGCAATTTTTGTGTAGTGAAAACTTTTGTAATGTAATTTTTGTATATCTACTAGTCTCTAATATACTTTTTGCAATGTAACCAAGTATATAAGAAAATTTTCAACTATCTTATATTTATTGTTGTTTGCCTACTCCATACTCTACAAATAGCCAAAAGTTTTCTCTCTTCACAAAGTATATAAAATTTTGAAATCTTTATACGTAAAGTTAAATGACTAAATTAGGATTGTGACACAAAAACACTTACCAAATGTGTGAGTGTGTATCAAGCCATAGCCATTTTACCGCCAACCCTAAACATGCAACATCAAGTATGTCTCGAGCTAAAGGTCCAGCCCCATAACTCACGAGTATCAAATTGTTTAGTGCAAAGTTTCCCTCTATGGAGCTAAGAAAGATATTCACTCAAAACATGGAGGCTTAAACAACTATGCACAAGCAACAGACAAACATTGATTACATGATAGGCACACTATCAATCGAGAATTCATCAATTTCTTACCGCAAGCCCACATAGGATCAAAACAGCCAATGCAAAAGGTTGTAAAGAAGGTTAAGTCGGGAGATATATAAAGAGGGGTAAAAAGAATTTAAGGACTTCCAAATACATAACTAGGCATTTTATCAAGCATTTCAATAAATCTCATCCTTTACATAAGTGCATTCCTCAATATTTCAATTCCTCACATCTGTCTTCTTTTTCTTTTCTACATTTTTTCTCTTTTTTTTATTTTTTTTGTATTTTTTTTCATATTTTCCTTCTTTTTCTTTTTCTTGTTTTTTGTGTTTTCTTTCTTCACTTTAGCACTTATCAACTCTTATCGCTTTCCTTGTCACTTTTCTTTTCAAATGAACATTTAATACCTACTATACACTTAGAAGCATAAAAGTAGAAGAAGATGTTTATAGACTTTATTCCAATGTAAAGAGGTATGGATAATATAGATACATGGAAAGAAATGGCTATATATGTGTATTGGCTCAAAGTGGTTACTAAGGGATTATAATCATGAAAAAGAACTGGTCTAAAGGCTCAAATTCAATCCGAAATTGGCTGTCATTATTTCCCATGTATGATCCACCGTCTTAGCACAGACCATGTTATGTTATTTTCAAAAGTAGTTTTCAATTCACAAAATTCAGCAAGTGTCCCAACATCTAGACTCTCATTACACAAAATTAACTCCTAGTGGCTATTTTATCATTCAAGGGAATAGACATGCAACAAATCATAGACTCAAACAAAAACTTCCTCTCAATTCCATATGATTCGCAATTATTTAAGCAATTTACAACAAAATTCAAATTGATCATCCCCCAACTAAATATTACATTGTTCTCAATGCATAAAAATGTCTTCAAAAATAAAAAGAGGTAAGGTATTATTTGAATACTGCAGTAAATCAACATAAGCTTGAAGGATAAAAAGCCTGAAAGATCTCAATTGAGGGACAATGCAAGGAATGAAAATAAACCTAAAAATGAATGCAAAATATACTAAGAAGAAAAAAAATCTAAAATTAAATATACAAAAAAAAAGCAAAGTGAAAGACAAACATGAATGATGTTAAGGATAGTAAACGGGGTCTGCAAGAGAAATTTCTTCAACCGCAGGCACCTGTTGCCCATGAGCTATTTTGAGATGCTGTTCATTCACTTTGAACACTCTACCAACATTAGGATCTTTAATTTCAACCACCCCACGTTCAAAAACTCGTAGTACCACAAAGGGGCTAGTCCACCTAGAAAAAAGTTTTCCTGGGTGCTTATGGAGTCTAGAATAATACTAGTATACTTTTTGATTTGGTTCAAAAGTCTTTCTCAAAATGTTTTTATCATGAAATGCTTTCATTTGCCTTATGGATTCTAGAACTCTCATAAGGATCATTTCTCAACTCTTCTAACTCAGTTAATTAAAATTTCCTAAAGACCAATCTTTACGATTGGGGTTCTCCGTTTTCTCCAATATTTGCTTAATCTCCCTATTAACCAATTCTACCTGTCCACTAGTTTGGGGGTGGTAAACAATGAAAATTTTATGAATAACCCCATACATTTTCAGTAATGCCTCAAATGAACGATTGCAAAAGTATGTGCCTCTATCACTAATAATAACATTTTCTTTGAGAAATTTAACAACTATTTTATTGTCATTAGCCCTACAAGAAGTTGCGTCTACCCATTTAGGCACATAATCTACTGCCGTAATAATATATAGGTAACCAAAAGAAGGTGAAAAGGATCTTATAAAGTCAATTCCCTAATAATCAAGTACTTCTATTACCAAAGTAGGGTTTAAAGGCATCATATTACGTCGGGACACAGCACCTAACTTTTGGTACCTTTCACAAGATCTACAATAAGCATTAGTATCTTTAAATAAGGTGGGCCAGTAAAAATCATATCGCAAAATTTTTACCGTAGTCTTTTTAATAGAAAAATGGTCACCACATGCTTGAGTACAACAAAAATTAAGTATGCTAAGTATCTTTTTATTGGGGACACAACGTCTTAAGATTTGATCGGGACAGTACTTAAACAAACATGGGCCATCCTAGAAGAAATTACGTACCTCAACCAAGAACTCTCTCTTATCTTGTGCACTCCAATCCTTTCAGATTTCATCTACAGCTAAATAATTTACAATATAAGTAAACCATGGTAGAGAAGAAACAGAAAATAAATTCTCATCTGGAAATTCATCTCGATTGGCAAGGTGTTTATATTGTCTTCAAAGGTCAGCCTTGACAAATGGTTTGCTACGACATTCTCCACTCCTTTCTTATCTTTGATGGTAATATCAAACTCCTGTAAAAGCAAAATTCACTGTATTAAACGTGCCTTAGTATCCTTCTTTGTAAGAAAATACTTAAGGTTGCACAATCTATGAAAATTGTAACAGGAGAGTCAATCAAAATAGAAACTTATCAAGCGCAAAGACTATAGTTAGTAACTCTCTTTTAGTTGTGGAATAGTTCATTTGAGCACTGTTTAGATTTCTACTAGCGTAGTAAATAACGAAAGGTTTATCTTCACTTTGCTGTCCAAGTATAGCACCTACTGCATAATCACTAACATCACACATAATTTCAAACGGTAATGTCCAATCAAGTGGTTGAAATATAGGTGTGGAAGTGAGTTTGTTAATCGGTGTTTTAAATGCCTCTTGGCATTCTGAGGTCCATTCAAAAGTGGCTTCTTTACTTAGATGGTTACACAATGGTCGATGAAAAGTTCTGTATAAATCTCCTATAAAAACTTGCATGACCTAGGAATGATCTGACGTCTTTCACTATCTTAAGTGTAGGCAATTTAGAGATTAATTCAATTTTAGATTTGTCGACCTCTATCCCTTTGGAAGAAATTACATGTGCTTAGACAATTCCTAAAGGTACCATAAAATGACATTTTTTTCAATTTAAAACTAAACCTTTTTCCTCACACTAGGTCAAGACTCTTTTCAAATTCAACAAGTATGCATCAAACGAGACTCCAAACACAGTCAGGTCATCCATGAAGACTTCCATGCAATCCTCTACCATGTCACTAAATAGGCTTGTCATGCATCTTTAAAATGTAACGAGTGTATTACAAAGTCCAAATGGCATCCTACAAAATGCATAGGTACCAAATGGATAAGTAAATGTGGTCATTTCCTGGACTTCGAAGGCTATCTTAATTTGATAGTAACCAGAGTAGCCATATAGAAAACATTAAAAGAGATGGCCAGCCATACACTCCAGAATTTGGTCTAAAAAGGGAAGGGAAAAGTGGTCTTTATGGGTGGCAGCATTCAATTTCCTATAATCAATGCACATGCGCCATCTAGTCACTGTTTTTGTGGAGACCACTTCACCCATTTCATTTTCACCACAATGACACCTAACTTTTTAGGGACTACTTGTGTAGGACTAACTTATTTACTGTTTGCAATCGGGTAAATGATAACTGCATCTAATAATTTTAACACCTCATTTTTCACAACTTCTTTCATCATTGGGGTTTAGCCTACATTGTGGGTCTCTTCTAGGGGTGGTTCCTTCCTCTAGATTAATTCTATGTGAGCAAATTAGAGGACTAATACCCTTAATGTTAGCTATGGTCCAGCCAAATGCAAATTTGTGCTCATTCAGAATGTACAAAAGTTGCTTACATTGCAAATCATCCAATTCTAAAGATATAATTATAAGAAAAGTATCACCTGGTCCAAAAAATTCGTGTTTGAGTCTTGGAGATAACGATTTCAACTCTGGTTTGGGGCTCTCAATGCTTCATGGTTGCTGTCTTTCCATTTTTTCTAGCAATTCTTCAAACTCGGGTTGCCATGTTGATGTCCCATAATCTTGAAATTTTGCAAAAACAGCACAAACGTTAGCATACTCTTCATTATTAAGACTTGCTGGAATTGCTGAATTCAAAAGAAAAAGTTTCAAGGGGTTAAAATCAGCAGTTGCAGATGCCTCCTCCTGAGTGAGTGCCTCAATCATATATGTGTGATGACACTCATCATTTTCTGTTGGTTGCTTAGTGATGTGAAAAATATTGACTTCTAAAGTCATATTCCCAAAAGATAACTTCTAAAGGTTTACCAAGAATGATAGGAATTTTAGAATCAACTTTTAGATCTAAAACTAAGAAATCAACAGGGTAGTAATATTTATCAATTTGAACTAACACATCCTCAACTACTCCTCTAGGACTTATAATGGACCGATCAGCTAATTGTAGAAACACAAAAGTGGGTTTTATCTCACCTAGACCTAACAACAGGTATTACATAGGGCATGAGATTAACACTAGCTCCTAAATCAAGAAGAGCTTATGCAAACTCATGGTTCCCGATGATGTAAGAAACAATAGGACAGTCGAGGTCCTTATATTTCGGTGGGATCCTTTTTTCTATCACAGCACTCACTTGTTCAATCAAGAAAGTAATTTTCTTAACGTTATGTCTCCTTTTCACAATGCACAAGTATTTAAGGATTTTAGCATATGTAGGAACCTGTGAAATCACGTGCAAAGGAGATAGATTGATTTTTACTTGCCAAAGGTATTCTAGGATTTCACTATGTAGATTGACCGATTTCGGAGTGAGCTTAGGAGCTTGAGGAAAGGATACTCTAGATGGATTTCCTACTACCTCATCGCTAGGGCTACTTTTTCCAGACTCACTAGACTCTTTTTCATTTTTTCTAGGTTTGGGGATTGGTTCTATAACCTTTCCAAATCGAGTGGTGATGGCATTCATTTTCTTAGGATTGTTTTCTCCCGAACATAAGGTTTGTGCCATGTGTTGTCCATTAGAATTTGGTTGAGCTTGAGCTGGGAATTTTTCATGTTCTCCAACAGCTAAGGCCTTGGTCAATTTAGACATATGATTTTTCATTTCCTTGTTTTCCTCAATTATTCGAGTGATCATAGTCTCAAATTTTTTATTTGTCTTACTCTATACCTCTATGAATGCATGTAGGGTATCTTCTAAGGAGCTCCTAGAGGATCTGGGTTGATATGAGGGTGTAGTGTACGCTCTATTCGATTGTGTGGCTTGCTGGTTGTCAAATTTCCCACTAAGATTGGATGATTCTGTCATCTTGGATTGTAAGTTTCAGATAAATGAGAGTAGGGCTTTTTGTGCATACCTAAGGCATTACAATGTTCCTCATAAACCTCCTCATCTCAGTCAAAGTGGTATACTCTTAGGTCGAGTGATCTATTCCACCACACACAAAACAAGGTCCTAGAGATTCAATATGAGAAATAGTTTGTATTGGCTTCAAGTCTTTAACACGCAAAGTTTCAAGTTCTCTAGCGAGGGCTTCCACTTTGGCTCTAAGTCTTTCCTCCTCCCTAAGATGATAAATACTTGTGCTAGTGGGGTTTCCTATGGGTTGTGACCTGTTAGTATTTTCAGTAGTGCTAGGTTCATCCAAAGTATGAGCTTTCTCAGCTAAATACTCCATGGCCTCATCCGGATCTTTTTACATGAAATCACCTTTACACATCATCTTAACAAATTGAACTTCATTATGTGTTAATCCCTCATAGAAATAACTCACCATACACCAACTCTCATAACCATGGTGGGACAAAGGACTTCTAGTTTTTTATATCTTTCCCATGCTTGGTATAAAGTCTCACTATCCTTTTGAAAAAATGAGGAAATTTATTTCTTAAGGGCGCTAGTTTTATGATGGGAAAATATTTGTTGAAAAATGCTTGAGTCATTTAAGCCCAAGTGCCAATTGAACGTGGTCTCAATGAATACAACCAGCTTTTTGCTCTTTCTTTAAGTGAAAAAGGGAAATATTTAAGCCTAACTACATTTGTTGTACCATGATGATTGTGGAAGGTTGCAACCACCGTATCAAATTTCCTAATGTGCATGTATGGATTTTCATTGTCAAGTCCATGAAAAGTGTGAAGAAGTTGAATCACTCTAGATTTAAGCTTTATATGTGGCATATTAGGTAAAAACAGTATACATGATGGTGTGGATGTGCATGTGGGATGAAGATAATTCTGTAAAGTCCTATAAGGTGCCGAGTAACGTGGTGTTCGTGGCAATAGATGCAGTATCAAAAAAAGGGTTATAGAGAGTTTCAAACACTGTAAAAAGGTTTCGCGGTAGAACTCCCTTGATCGCCTCGATTCCTGCTCATAAAACACCAAGAACAAAGAAAATGTATGAAAACAAAATAAAAATAAATAAATAACAATGACAAAATTTGAATCAAGTAAAAATAAAAGTAAAGGAACGATATCACCCTTTTTTAGTCGATCCCTTGGTTACTTGTACCGTCTCCTCAACAATGGCATCAAAATTTGATTACGACCAAAGATTAACGCGGTAGTTGTAGTATAGCCTTGGGTTGTCGAGTCCACATGAAGATGGAAAATCACTCAAAGAATCCAAAAGGTGAATGTTGTCTTGAAATGTGTAGTGGGATTTATCTATTGATAGGAATGAAATTTAAATATCAATGGGTGAAATAGTAAAGCGCCAGAATTCCCTCAATTGGTTTGGATCATTCAACATTATCAATTCATGCTTATAACTCAATTAAAGATGTTAAACTTAACTCTCTAATTGGAAAATATAACTTTAAGCACCAATTCAATTCAACAGTAATTCTAAAGATTAAATTTCTTAAAACACATTCCAACATTTAATTATTGAAATTAGATTCAAAAGTGACCATATACATCAAGCATAAGGCAGTAGAGAATCACACTAATAACATTAATTAATTGAAATTGAAATTCAACAAATATTTCAATTGTTTGATAGAAAAAGCATGACTAGATCAATGAAAATCTAATAAATGTTAAACCAATATCAAATCACATTCAATATATGGAAATTTAAATCTTAGAATTGTTTAACGGTGAAAATATTAGACTACATGAATTAAAGGATGTTGAAATCACCAAAACCGATTAAGTTCCTTCGTGGCTTCACCAAGATTGTTAGTTCTTTATGGAGTTTCTTGGGCCAAAGATAAGAGAAAAGTGTGTTGGGACGTTCTCTCGGTCTTAGATGAGATTTAGGGTTTATATATGGTCTGGAAGATTTGTTTCCATAAGTGGTTTAACGAAATTAGGAAACCAGAAAATTCGTGCCGGACAACTTTCAATATTTTGACCATAACATTCTCTTCCAAAGTCCAATTGAAGCGATTCAAAGTGTATTAGAAAGCTAACAAAAAGGGTTACAATTTTTCTAAAATATTTCTTTCCCAATTCGAAAGTTTTCTGCGGAAAAGGGATCACAATCTTGGACTGAAAATCTAGAATATTCTTGTGCGGTTAAAATCGATTTGTAACTTGATCCATGAACTTTCATTTGCTTCCATTTTGATCCTTTTTCGTCCAAATTCCACTATATCCATCCATTTGCAATCTAAATCAAAATATAAGGGTACTTAGTGCATTTAGGCATTAATATATCATCATAATGCAAGTATAAATGGATGAATTACTTAACAATTTGTGATAGTATTATTCGAGCATTACAAGAATCATATGAAGGTTGTGAATTATGAATAAAGAATTCTTTACTCTTAGATACTAAAAGATTATGATCTACATGTCATTCAGTTAAGTAAATAATGTAATCATTAGCCAAGGTATATTCATAAATTGAAAAGAGTTTTCGACTTGTATTGACTTAATGGTGGGATAAAAGATATGTTCTATAATCGAGATTAAAACACTTAATATTTCATAATTGATCAAATCATATTGACGAATAGATTACAGTTTCACGATAAACGAACAAGTTTGATGTTGTCATACCACGTGACATTTTTCAGCACATTTGTTGCCCTAATACATTGCTAGAGACATTTTTCAGCACATTTGTTGCCCTAATACATTGCTAGATGTCAATCTATGATAAATAATTTGAATTAATTAATCTAAGTGAATTAATGATAAATTAAAAGGGTTTTTAATTTATCTTATTCTGATTAAATCAAAATAATAATTCACATCGTCAGTCATCGGGTTGGAAACCTAATAGGTCACACACAAAAGGAGAACTAGAAAAATGATGTCACTGATTAATTAATTGACAAATGTTAGACACTTGTATAATCAAATAATTGGGCTGCTTGTTAATAGACCCAAGTTAATTAATTGGATTATTTGATTTATGGACCAAGTTTAGTTAATTAGATTAAAAAAATATTGGACCAGATTAAATTTAAGAGATGGACTTAAAATTATATTAATAAGTTATTAAGGTTTTGAAAACACAATATAATTATTATCTTGCTAGCACAAGAAGAGAGAAATCCTAATTCCCTTATTCTTGTTCCCTGTGTGCATTTTCATTGGTGGCTGGACAATTGAACAAGTGGGGATTACAGATCATGATTGTTCGGGTTCAAGAAAAGTAAAGAATTTTGCAAAATTCAACAAAAGTATATATCACAATTTCTATCTAAACACAAAGTAAACCTTTAGTAAGAATTGAAATATGTTTTATTTTTCATAGTTCATAAGTAAATTCCCAACAAAAATATTAATGTGACCATAAAGATATAAAAAAATCATTCAATTAGTTAATCAGGTTGAGTATAAGTAGTATAGTACATGGTAAAATTTTTGAACTTCGTCAAGTGAAACTTAAGCCCATAAATGAAAATGAATATAAAGATATTAAAATAGGAAATGTTTCCAAGTAATCAAAAAAAGCCTTCTAGCCTCGAATAGATTAGCCTTCAAACAGTTGGAGGTTTGTAGGGTGTAGCAATCACGTAAAGGTTATTCTTTCTCTGTACTCTTAGTCCCAGAATCTCACTCATGTCTAAATCACTAGGATTCATTCCATGAGGAAGTTTACAGTCAAAACGATAGAGAAGTTGAGCTAAAGGTACGTCAATATTTGCAATGCCAAAGTTCATGCCAGGACAAAACCTCCTTCCTGATGCAACAGGATCCGAGTCGAGTGATGCTGATTTGTCAGATAGCACGATGATGATGCTGAGATACCATGAGATGGCAGATCGGCACAAAGATGGGAAGTGAATTGCAATTATTTCCTTGATTGGGGGAATTTGACACGTCTTTGATAATTTGGCCATAACTTTGATTACGGTTATCAGAATCGCTATTATGACCCCAATTCGAAGAGCTCTCTTCGGTGCATACATCATGGCCACCCAACTATGCTCGGTAGGCATCAATTTCGAGCCCAATATCTGCTATTTTCCTTTTCAAAATTCAATTTTTAGTTATTTTTTTACTTTTATGGTAATATTTCATTTCCCTTTTTCCATATGTTAGAAAACTCGAATTGAACCAAATTTTTGGCAACCTACTCCTTTTACTTAATATTTTATTTTGGTGTAATTTCGAAATTTTTCCATTTTTGGTAATTTTCCTATAATTTTGTATTTTACAGCTATTTAACCCTGCTTGTGGGTTAATTTTGGTCATTCTACATTATTAATAATAATGAGTTGTTTTCAGAGTATTTTCTCTGATTTTATGGGCGTTTTCTTTCATTTCTTTCTTACGAATCATATGCTACAACAAGCCAATATGATAATCACTATCCTATCCGGTGTCACTTCCTGATTCGAATGGAATATATTCATAGTTCTTTTCCAAGAGATCAACTGAACTCTTCTCAAATCTCTGTGGTTCATTTCTGGTTCTTCTCAATATTCTGAATCTTTTCCCAAATCACAGATAATAACTACAACTTTTGCTTTGTAGGGTGTGGTATACCCATCGACTTCACATTCTTCCTTTTATGTTATTGGGAGTATCGACTTACGGTAGGGTGTACCTAAAGTTTTCTTTGATTATCAACTTCTGATATTTTAGTTTTTGAATATCACTCTCCTCGATTGTATTCTTTCCTTTAAAGGCTTCTCTTATTTTAGCTTGTGCCTCCGCCATCACATGTGG